AGAAAGGACAAAAGATAGGAAGTGTAAGTACTGTTTAGAAGAGGGCAGGTGTGATGTGTCATGTGACATTTCTGTAATTGCCTGTATCATTAGATCCCGTGCAGTGTTGATTGTGAGTGAGGACACCAGTATTGATCTGTGGAAATGGGGCTTTGTACATATTTCATGTAAAATAGCCTGTTGCAAAGGTGTGTGTGTTTCTTTCATTAGGTGTGCCTGCACCGCGCATAGCAAAAAACGTGAAGTTGAAATGCTAGCATTGTGTTGCTTTAATGCCGCAAGGGAATCTTCAGTATAAATGCATGACTGTACATTATACAGACACAAGGTCAGATCTGATTAGGGTCCAACTGTTTATACCAAAATAACACAGAGAGACTCAGAGCTGGAGCTGAGATTACTGTAAAGCAGTACAAATGCATATAGGCGTAATGATCTTCATTACAGTTATTATTATTGTGCACTATTCAAACATCTTAAATTCACTTGTAATTGGTGCATATTAATGGGTTCGTGTACATTTTTAAACCAACATCACCATCCAGCTGAGGGATTAATAAAACGTAACTTTGCCGCCCCCTAGCGGTGCTATCTGACTTAGGGAACGGTGGCTGGAAGAAATCTATCCATTGCACCAAATTTTGACAAGGGTTGTCTAATGTTTTCTGCGACACAAATACACATTGCCCCCCTACCTCCACGTGTCAGGATGTCCACAGACATTCTGAAATGCCATTTCAGGTGTAATGAATAATGTAAACAAAGCCTCGGTCTCAGTAATCAATAACAATGACCCAGTGTGCAGCACTCCGGCACTGACACGTCCAAATGAGAGCCATTTAAAACGTTACACCTGAGCTGAGAAAATATCTGCTGTAAGAGAGGTTTATTTATGTCACCTCATGCAGTAGATTAATAATAAAGTTAGGTGTAAAGTTGCCGTGTTTGCAAGCATTAAAAACAATTTGGACAGATGGGAGGTGGTGTGGAGGGAAATACATTTTTTTTTCTCCCTTTGGGGTAAGGTAAATGTTATAAAAAAGCATGGTGATAGCTCTGCAAATATATTTTTCTTTAATATCCCAAATATTTTTTCTCTAGTGCCTTAAGTGTTGTCACAGCTACAGTGATTGATTGATAATTACGCGGAAGCTTAATTGGCTCTAATCTTTGGAGGTTTAATAACATTTCTGGTGAGGTAACGCTGGAATCCACAGCGACTCACTTTGGCTCGACTGTCACTTTGCTATGAACTTAACTGTGAGGCGCACACACACATGCACGCAAGATGTGTATTTGGTGCAGTGATTAGGATTAAACGATGCATTAAGCATTTAATTACTCAGGTGGAGCATCGCAGTGTGTTGGCTGTCTGTTTTAATTTTATTAGCTGACACATTTATGGAAGAAGCTCTGTGTGCTTAACTACTTGGCTCTGGCTCACCTCGGGGACATGACTCACATATTTCTTTATGTGGATCCTGAATGCATTTGTTTGAATGCGTGTACAGTTCGTGAGCTTGTTTGAAGGCACAGAGGAGACATATGATTCACATTTCGATGGGCCTGGGAGCGCCTGATGACTACATGTTTTCCACATGACATAAACACTAAAACAGCTGCTTCACTTTTGGGAAAGAGCTGAGTAGGAGGCACTGTTTTTGACTTTTGCTGTTTAGGCCCATGCTGTAGCACTGTAGGTAATGGGACTGACCTAGAATGGAGTTTAGTTATGGCTTTTGTTGAACATGTGTGTATTTGTGGGTTCATGAACTTACAAGATAGGTTTCAAGATATTTCCTAGAGGTATCTTGTACTTGCAGCATGAACCTTGAAATTGAAAACTTGGATGTAGTCCTATTTCTTGATTTACGTACTGGAGAAAATAAGGATTTGCAAATTGGGATTTTATTACACGAGGCAGTTTCTTAAACGTCTCTTACTGTTAGCCAATATCTCAGTAACTCTGCTCCTTAGGAGCACCTTGAGCTTATGCTGAAATAAATTGCTTTTTATACTGAATGTTTCCTGTTGAGGAAAGGTTTGCATTTTAGAAGATATTATCATGTGGAAAAGAAGCACATCATGAGAAAAATTACTATTTGAACAATATCCAAACAAGTGAAGCATTTGAAGATCTTTTATTTATTTATTTTCTTTTTTTCTTGAGCTTCAGAAAGTATTTACAGGTGTCCTACTCCCATCCATCATCCATCCATCCTCTTCCACTTATCCTTATCAGGGTTTCCGCAGGACGAGGGAGGGGCGCAACAACAAGCAGTGTGGTGGTTTGTAAGGACAACAGCATTTCCATCAAGTTCCCCTGATCACTAGAGTCAAAACATCAGAGCACAGAGTGGTGATGAGAACCCGCACGAACCCAGAAACCACAAGTGCCCACAGCCAACAGAAAAGACCAAGCGCAGCAGCACAGAATGACTTCGCGTTATCATCTTTTAAACAGTATATAACAGTACATGGATTTAAGAAAAAAGGCAGATTTTAATTAGAAAAGTTATTAATGATGTGGAAAAAGTACAAATTTTACTACTTTAGAACCATAAAATTAGGAATTAGGCTTGCAGATTAAGTACCAATAAATAGAAACTTGTAGGGAAAGTGGAAACTGTCTAATTTAGTCCTCTGCCAGTTCTGGAACTGTCTTACTTCTGAAGTGTGCCGTGTCATCAGGGTCTAAGAAGCTCTCTCAGGTCTTTAGAAAAAGGTTGAGGATGTTTATGAGTCTGGTAGTCTGTGGAAAAAAGAACATCAAATCATTCCACTGCAAGAAAATCATCTACAAGCGGCAGTGATTTCTAATGACTGCCCGTTTCTCCGTGACCTACCGCTCCAGAAAATTCAGCCTAAGAACAAAACTGTTTAATGCACAAAGAAATCTCCAGGATCTGTCGCTAATGTTGTTGTCAAAACCAAATCTGAGCTGCATGGGAGTCGTATCAGGAAAAAGCATTTGCTATCTATAAAGAACATTAGAGCAAAGGTACACGTTACTACTGAACATACCAACGTTTTTTTTTTTGGGTTTTTTTTGAATAACACATCCTGGATCAGTGAATAAGAGATATCACTGTTTGTCCACAATAACAACAGACATATTTGCTGCAGACCAAAAACAGCTTTTCCAGAGAAGAGCCTCATATCAGCTGGGAAACATGACGGTGGAAATGTTTAGTTTGAGGCTTTCTTGTTGCCTCAGGAGCTGAGCAGTGTGCAGCTATTGATTCAACTATAAATTGTGTATCATATCAAAGAATTTGAAGCAGAATCAGAAGTGGGCCTCTCTACAACATAAGCACAGGAGGAAATTTACTAAAGAGTGCCTCAGAAAGACTAAAGAGTATAGTCTATGTTTGAATCCTATTAAAATAAATGTTAAATGGACTCGTACTTAATAGCAGGTGTTACTACAAGCCTTATTCCCCCCAATCACACACAGATAGATTCATACTAGTGCTTTTTTCCATGCCTAGGAAGCAAATGTCTGACTTCCTGTTGGTAGATGACTCACTATACCTCCTGACCACGGCCATGTTAAGCAATCATATAAACATATAAATGAAAACCCCAAACATCTTGCAACAGAAGGATATTTTGTAATTTCTGCTGCCCTCTTGGTTATAGTCTCTCTTAGAAAAGAGATTTTTATCTCAATGAAGCTTTTAGCTGATAAATGAGTGATACACTAAGGAGTGGTCCACTGTAGCCACAAAAAGGATGCTTGTCCAGATCCCTCAAAAACAAAATACAAACAAACAAACATTTTCATGGGATGTTGCTTTTGAAATATTCGACCGTACTGTTATGACATTGATAAAACTGAGTCTTGCCGTTACAGCTTCTTCAATGTCATTTTCATTGTACGTCTCACTAAACGGTTTAAGTGATTTTTTTAGACAAAGACATAGACTTCATTGACATTGGGGAAATTTACACATTACAGCAGCACAAGGGTCAACAAGACGAAGGGAATGAGAAATATATGAGAAAAAAATAGAAAAATAAGTACCTAAGAAAAAATAGTGGACAAATAATAAAAGCCTCAAAACTCTACCGGTATTTTCTACTATTTACAAATGGTTACTATATACAGTAAATACACTCTGATTATTTTTTTCATATGTACATAAAGTGCAGTGTGAGTAATGTTATATACACATATCTATATAAGAAACTGTAACTAGTTAACGAGCATTTATGTGCTGCACATTTACAGGCTTTATGGAGATCTGTATCTTAGCATCCACAGGATGGCGATGTAGCACAGCGGATCCGAGCTGCGCAGCGCTGTTGTGCAGCTCATGGCAGACTTCAGCCCATCTTTCCGTGCCTTCCATGCAGGCCGTACCTTGATCCTACCACCAGATGTCGCTAAAAACAGTGCGGACACGCTTCCAACACAACGACGTGAATGAGTCGTGCACCTACTTAAGTGACTTATTTGCAGTCTGCACAACTGATGTAGTTTATTGGCTTTATTTTAACACCGCGGCGTCCTTAAGCAGAGCACATGAGCAACGGCATAAGAGAAATTCACGACTCACTTGAGTGACGCGCTAAGTGGGAGGAAACTAATTAAAAAGCTGTAAATCAAAATTTCAATAAAAGTTCAGGAGTCAGCTGTTTTTCTCTGTTGTGATGTCACCGTGTCTCCACGCCGAGAAACTGTCAGATTTGCGGCTTTAATCACAGCTGTTAAGAATGCTCGTCTCTCACCGCTGCACGCTGTGGATAGATGATCGTTGGCTCCAACCGACATAATAATGGAATCGCTGACAGGGAGTGTCACCCTGTCCCTCGCTGTTACCTGAGCAGCACCTGTGGTCTCCCTCTTCTCCTGTCCTTAACACACGCAACAGACGCACGGGTGAGCGCATCACGTGCGCTCCCCACCAACTAGGAGCTTTTGCGTTGTGCTGAGTTGACTGGATAGCTGCTCGGTCATATAGCCATCAGCACCTTCGATGGGAGCACCTCAAGCGTTTGGACGACTTGCACCATCTCTTCAGTAACTTTGATGGGGAATTCGACATTAAGCAGGGAAAATGCCTGTGATGAAGGGATTACTAGCGCCGCAGAACACGTTTCTGGACACTATAGCCACTCGGTTTGATGGCACTCGTAAGTTTGCTTTTTAATCTCCATATATTTTAAATCATTGACTCATTTAAGGATGTGTAATAGTTTGCGATTTAAGTTCCTTTCCCCCCTCTTCTTTATTTTTGGCCGGCTGGGATTCTCCAGAGAATAAGCTTGCAGGCTGATCCAAAACGCCCAACACCTGTAATAGAGAGAATAGGGAGTTGTCAGCGCCTTTCAGTATGATTGCATGCTTGCTGTCCTCGATACAGATAGCGACATTAGATCACCAGGTATTTCACATTTCTTTCTATTTCTTTTTTCCTTGTCCAAAGAGAGACTTCACTAAAGTTCAAGGTAATCCAAAATTGTCTCCAGTATCAAAAGCAGACAGCGCTGAGGCTTTCAGCACCACAGACAGCGACAAAGGTCCACTCCCAGTTTACAGTAGGGGAGACCGGGGATAGTTGTAACGTGGGTTAGTTGTAACACTTCCAATTTCTCCAATCAGGGCTACGTTTCAAATGATGTGACTCATCCTGTGCATGCCCAATTCAGTTCTGCTATCACATGTGAAAAATCAGCACATTTTGTCAAACACAGACAATTTAACATGAAAAAAAGTAATTTGTATGCCAAAAAGTAAGTTTTTCTACTTTATTTCAATTTCTAATAGCATTATCTGCTTTGCAGTTAAACTCATCAAATTTAAATTATGTTATTTGTATGTCTATGGGGATATATTCTGTGTAAGTCTTTAGTGCTAATGTTTTAGCCGTTGGCTGTAATGTTAGCTAGTTCATGGCTATAGGAGTCTGGGTTAGTTGTAACAATAATGCAGATGTTACAACTTACCACACTATTACTTTAACTTATATTAAACAAGTTGGGGCAACGACATCAGCAGAGAGAGGTTCACTGGTCACTTTTGTATATGCGGTTAATGCCATTGGCAACACAATTCCTCCACTGTTTGTGTTCCCACACATACACATTCTCACACTGTGTCAGAGATGGACCAGTAGGAAGTACTGGTAGTGGAAATAAATCAGGATGGGTGCAAGAAACAGATTTCCTCATCTTTCTGAAGCACTTTGCAAACCACACCAAGGTAAGCCATGATAAAAAGTAATGGAATTGCGATGCTGGTGAACAACTACATTTTTTCAGCTTCATTGTTATGTTCAAAATTGGTGCAAGAGTTGTAGGTTATAATGCCCACTGAGCCAATGAGGCCAAACTCAAGGAAGACCAACCAAAATTAATGAAATATTCAGTTGCAGAAAATTTCATAATTTGTCTTTTTTGGGGGGTTGGAATATGTTCAAAAGCTAGATTTCTGCATTCTGTCACACACACACACACACACACACACAGCTACATAAATGGCTCTAAGTGCATTCATGTGTTGAATAAACAAAGATTACATGTTAATGTTTCGTTAGTACCCTTATTTCATTGTGTTACATTTCACCCCAGGATATGTTACAACTAACCCAGACTATGGGGTTAATTGTAACATTTCACTCTTTGTGTTTGAGACCATACCATGCAATGGGTAATTGTGCTGCAGAGAAAATAGCTGCACTATTTAATAGCAGAGACATGTAAATACTTTGCATTACATTTTGAATCCACTACCTTAAACGAGCTCCAATTTACAGACAGAAATGTCAAAAATGTTACAACTATCCCCGGTCTCCCCTACAGCTTCTCGCCAGGCATTTGGGCAGCATGCACACAACTTGCAACCAGTGTTAATATTTGTGTTTTTGAAAGAAAAAAAACACACAGCCCAACTTTCTGTGGCTTTCCACTCTTTTATCTTTACAGTGAAGTTAACCTTTATTATCTGGCTAAGTCCTGCAGACGCCGACTGCAGTCGTTCCTCCCGCCGGTCTGAAAGCAGCGGTCACATTTATCAAACTTAATTGGTCGACGGCGACATTACAGCAAGTCCTTCCCCAGGCGAAGCCCACACAGACGTTTCTTCAACTTTACTCTGAACTCTCTCTCAATAATAACCACGAGGATTCCTAAACACCAAGCACCGTATTTCATAACTATCTCGTGTTTCTCTTTGAGAATTCTTTTTTATTTTATTTTTTTCCAGGAATCATCAGCTGCTCAAATAGAATCAATGCACTGCTCTGCTCTCATTTTCCATTCAGCTTTGTTTCAGCTCTGTTGCTGTTTGTTTTGGGCAACTACTCATGTCCTTAGGCGTGGATTATTATGGACTTTGTGGCTGAATTTTACCGTCTTTGCTCTTTAATACAAATCGTTATATCGTAAAGTAAACAGGAATGAACAAAGGCAATGCTGTATATTGACCATTTTCTTTAAAAACACACACACGAACAGTAGCTTTTTGTGTGATTGGTGATTCAAATTTAAATTTACTAGAAATTGTCATGACAACCTGTCAAAAACTCACTTCTGTCTGTTCTCTCTGTGCCAGTACTTGCCACATTTTATTACATCATAGTGCTTCCTACATTTAGGGCTGATTCAAGCTCCAGTTTAATATATTAGCTCATTGGTATGTGTGCTCCCTGGGATGCTCTACCTTTCCTGTAGCTTGTTCACTTGGAGAATAGCAATAATAACCAGAAACATTTATCATTATTTCTGTCCAAATATCTGCTGGTTGACGACCAGTAAAGGCACACGATGACAATAACTATTAAGCTGCCTTGGCAGGAGGGCTGTCCTAACTAGGGGAATTGGGGTTGTACTGTACCTGTAGCACAAGCAGTTTGTCAAGCTCCCGAGAATGAACTGCTGTCCTTGAGTTGGTGAAGTAAAGGAAATTAATGTTGGATTTCAACTGCAAGACGGGGCAGACTGGAGGTAGCAGAGCCTGACGGGACAAATTAGCTATGATGGCCTGGCCAAGAGCAAATATAAGGGAAGAGGTAGTTTCGCTGCTATGCGATCTCCTATCACATCAACCAAATCCAAGAGCAGGTCAGACCTTTAAACGGTGATAAATGGCTGAAAGCAATAGTGGAAAACTCTTTAAGTTGATCTGATTTGTTCTTGGAGAAATATTTTTACATTTAGTGGTGGTCATTTAAATCAATTTAACTTTTTTCCTGGACAGTAACATTAACTTCTATATTCCAACCAACTGTTATCTGAATTAACTGAATTTGCCCTTTCACAACCAGAGTCTATAGAGAACTGAAAACACTCAGAATTAATTCTATTAACAAATCAAATCAAATCAAATCAAATCAAATCACTTTTATTGTCACATCACATGTGCAGGCACACTGGCACAGCACATGCGAGTGAAATTCTTGTGTGTGAGCCCCACAAGCAACAGAGATGTGCAAACACAACAACACAAACGAGCAAAATACAAGAATGGCCAACCTGAAACTAATAAATATATGTACAATATATAATAGTGTATGCATTTCTGGATGTGTATACTAAATATTTTCCTACGTGTGTGTGTGTGTGTGTGTGTGTGTATACACATTTTTACAAATTAAATAGTAAAAAATAATAATAATAATAATAATAATAATAAAATATATAAAATATACAGAGTTGAATATGTGCAAAACAAGTGGCATTTATATACAGTGTGGAGTGCATAATGTTGAAGTTCCAGTAGTGAAGCTGAGGTGTCTATGACGTGTTCAGCAGTCTGATGGCCTGATGGAAAAAGCTGTCTCTCAGTCTGCTGGTACGGGACCGGATGCTGCAGAACCTCCTTCCTGATGGAAGCAGTCTGAACAGTTTATGGCTGGGGTGACTGGAGTCCTTGATGATCCTCCCCGCTTTCCTCAGGCAGCGCTTCCTGTAGATGTCTTGGAGGGAGGGAAGCTCACCTCCAATTATCCGTTCAGAGCACCGCACTACTCGCTGGAGAGCTTTGCAGTTGTAGGCGGTGCTGTTGCCATACCAGGTGGTGATGCATCCAGTGAGGATGCTCTCAATGGCACAGTGATAGAAGGTCCTGAGGATGCGGGGGCCGAATCTTTTCAGTCTCCTGAGAAAGAAGAGGCGCTGCTGCGCCTTCTTCACTGTTTTGTTTGTGTGTACTGACCACGTAAGATCCTCAGCCAGATGTACACCAAGGAACCTGAAGCTGCTCACTCTCTCCACAGCAGTGCCGTTGATGGTGATGGGGGTGTGTACTTCTCTGCACCTCCAGAAGTCCACTATCAACTCCTTTGTCTTTGCGACGTTGAGGGTGAGATGGTTGTCTTGACACCAGTGGGTCAGGGCGCTGACCTCCTCCCTGTAAGCCGTCTCATCACCGTTGGCGATAAGACCCACCACTGTAGTGTTGTCCGCAAACTTCACAATGATGTTGGAGCTGTTAGTGGCTGTGCAGTCGTAGGTGTAGAGTGAGTACAGGAGAGGGCTCAGTACACACCCCTGTGGAGCACCAGTGTTCAGTGTGATGGGGGATGAGGTGATGCTGCCCAGTCTGACCACCTGGCGTCTGTCAGACAGGAAGCTAAGGATCCAGCTGCAGAGCTTTGAGAGCTTTTTAACAGCTTTGAGAAAACAGGTAATGCCTGTTCAGTTGAGCTGTTCAAACGGGGATATGAAATGTTAAATTCAGATTACTCTAAATGCTTCATTCCAGACAATGTTTTCCTCTCTTAGCCTGTATGATGTCACTGAGAGGAGTGACATAAAATACTATCACAGGGGCAAAGCTTTGGCTGTGAAGAAGCCCCACCCACCTGCCGTTGAACTCTTCTGTTTGCAAGAGGCAGCCAGTCAGAAAAAGTTTGGCTTAAATTGTAAAGGCAGGGAAAACAAAGACAGAGTATAAGATAAATAAGGATTATTATGAACCATGAATCATGCAAAGCTACTCTTGTGTGTTCCAGGAATAAAAATGTGCAGGTAGAAATGAGCATAATGTGTTTACTGAAAGTATTTAAAGCATTTTATTACATTTGGTTGAAATTGGTTCACTTCTTACTATGGTAACTCACATTATTACCTTCTCTGCAGCAGGTTATGCTCTAGGTTAGAGATCAACAGGTATGAAGTCACTGTCTAGTGAT